AAGCACTGTTATTTGAGGTTGTATCACAGTTGTGTGAATATTCAGATATTGCTTAGGGACTCAAAGCAGCTGGCTTCCCATACTATGTCGATGCTCTACATGGCCTCTGCAACCAGAAGAGCTGCACCGACAAGAATCACAACGAGAGATGCTTTGGATTACCGTGTCACTTTGGCAAATGTCAGTGCTAACATGTAACTCTCCAGATGTCACCTGAACCCAATGATCTTCAGCCGTTACTGTGATTGCATGATTTTTATATTGTTAACGCGATTTATAAATTTTTTTTGAATTTCATTGGAGTGACAATCAACAGATATATCGGTTACCCTATTTCTAGTATAGCGCTTACAATCGTAGGTACAGTCAGGTTGTTAGGTACAGTCGCTATTGCTGCGTGATTTGAAGGAGCTGCATGCGGTGCGTTTTCATGCGGTGCCAACTCGCTCCAGCAGGTTGTTGAAAGTATGGGGGGTTCGGGGGGAGCAGCCACTGATAGAAATAGGCTGGTGACTTTCCTCCCATTCTGCCCACTCTTTAGAATCCCTACCAGATTTTGATCGAAATGTTCCCCACTCAGGTATATTTGACTGAAACCTGGTCTCCAAGGGTACTCTGGCTCTTTGGACACTAATATCACACAAATTCAATGTAAATACGCATTCGTGTACTATAAACACCGGCGCCACTAGCGCGGATGCCACTCTTGTCTCGACCGATAGTAGAGTTCTGGGCGAATTACTTCCAGGGACAGAGTTACAGCCTGACAAATCTTAGGAATTTTTGCGCTTAAGTTTTCTAAAATCATTTGAGTTTCAGAGAATGGGCCAGTAAAGGGTGCATTCTGTAACGCTCTGCGTCGGTTGAGAAAATAATTTAGTCAACGAAAGAGGGATGAGCAGGAAGGAAGGGGTGGGAATACGAACAAGGCATGGGCGTTGCAATTCAGAGTGCTCTTCAAAGTCAGGATCGACGCTTTCGGAAGTTTGCATTAGTACAGTGGTTTCTTTTCTGCGTGCTTCGAGTAGAAAATGGCCAAAAATGGCACAGAATCCACCGAGCTGAGAGGGTAAGAACGATCCAGTGGCGAAAGGGTGCCCTCGCCCGTTTAGTAAAAGATGCGAGTTTGAGTCACGCTTGGAGGGGGGTCTGGATTTTGCTGATAACTCAGCATTCTTGTGGCAACTATTTATAATAACTGGTCGCAAGTCTGACATCCAAGACAAACCACGCGACGGTACATTAAGGATGGTGGCGCTTAATTATGAGTCTATAGTCGCTGAATAACTCTCCAGGGAAAAGAAGCATCCTAGATAAGACCTGTCAGCCTCTCTGAATGAGCTCTCTAAGCCTTGCTCGTTTTATGCCAGCAAAGCTATATTCTACCATCTCTAGCTCAATAATCGTTTCTCCGTGTCATTCAATAGTAATACCAGCTAACAACGAAAAAAAAGGAAAACACGTAAAACCCGCCTGTTGTTTTGAATTTGGCCTTTGAGTTTCGGTGAAGCGGAGCAACTGCGGAGGCGTTAGAAATGTCACTTGTGAGGACTACAGCGCCTTCTCCCTCACCGTGAAAAGGCAAAAGGAGATAATCTCAGAAACTGAAGGCCAGAATTTGAAAAAGGACACGTTCGAGTTGTTCGAGGCGGGGTGACTGTCTTTAAAGGCTGAGCCCGCATTCAAATTTGATGAGTTATGCGGCTCAAATACTTATAACAAGGTAGCAAGTAACCCCTTAGTGAAGAAAAATCAGAAAGAAATCATAGGAAAGGCTCTATATAGAACCCCTTGCTTAACTGAGGTTGTACGTGCTCAAGGCGAAGAGAAGGTGCGGTCGCACGAGTTCTCACTTGTTGATATCAGCTGTTTTCCCTTATCACCTCACTCTCACCACTCGACGTGGAGAGAAGCAGCAGCGAAACAACCGCACCATCAGATAACCATTAGGAAGTGGAGGGCGGTGCCAATGATTGTAGGTTGGGCCAATGAGAAGAACGACGGCATCGTGGGCCTCCTCACTCGTTTTTGCGCCGCGAAAGTGGTGTAGTTGTTGCCTCTGCGGACCTGACTACCTGCTCACGAAGGGAGAGGAAAATCTCAACTGAACGCGGACGCTGCCTTTAAGTAATATGCAATGGATGTGATACTGTATGGTTTATGCCCTGCTGTAGTGTCGACGGTGCTATCCACTGCTGGACTTTCTAACCGAATACTGTTTTCCTTACACGGTACTCCTCTTGATCGAACACCCAAGGGAGAACGCAACCTTAGGATCTCCGTGTTGCCTAACTTCTTCGAAAAGCACATGAAATCTGGATATAGTCAAAGTGGTCCCACACCGTAGAACGAGTATGAACCTTAAATATGTAAGTGAAAACGGCTTCGTCTTGTTCGTTGCAGATGATGGGGCATGTCAGTGAGGCTGGGGTTGGCTCCCGCAGCACTTTCTGCACCAGTAATTGAAGCCGGTAAGCGGCAACAACTCCAAGAATACGATCGATGTGAGCATTATGCTACAGTCCCGACGTTTGCCGAAAAAGAAGAAAAAACGTACTGGCACCACGCCAAATCCGTCCTCTTGACACGTCCCTTCATCCGCTGCGAACAAGGTTGTATACTCGCTCTGCATGAAAGTTGTATGCGAGCTCGCCTGTTTTCTATGAATACAGATGAGTACAGAGAGAATAAATCACCTGATCACTTTATAAGCAGCAGAGGTCATTGATAGCTGATCCGGCTAGTTGCCTCATCCTCTAGTACTTTCTGTTTCCTATTAGAGCTATTCCCTCGTGGCTTCAGTGAAGTCTGCACGAGCACCTAGGAGCACTGTATGCTCTTTGTTGCACGAAGGAATCTTACGAGTAAAAAAAGCTCGACTCGAGTCGATCCCTTGATCTTGAGCCTGAAATTAATCTATAAATGATCGAGAGGCGGTACAAATTTGGTTGGCACAGTTGGCAACCTTCGCTGACCATTTCTCGCCTTTCTAAACTAACCTACAACAGCTAGCCATGCAAAGCCTACTGATTTTGACAGTCGTCTTTGCTCTCGGTTTGTTCTCAACAGTTCTATAGTGCATTGTTGTAGATTTTGAATTTGTTCTTCTTTCAGTATATGGTGCTGCCGTTCTAGAAGGATCTGGCTCACCAGCCGTTGTTGAAGGAGCTGATGATGTGGGTTTTTATTGCTGAAAACTATAAAAATAAAGTCAGAGGTGAGCTGTTCTCCAGTGTTTCCCTACGAAAATGTGCTACAGCGATGAAGACTGCATTAAAGGCAAATGCGTCGGTTTATTTGTCGGGAAATGCAACTGCATTGGATGCATAGACTTGGCCAGGTTCAGGGCTTATTGATAGTTTGTTCTCCGTCTTTACCTGCTATCATTTTACTTTGTAGATGCGACGAAGACTCGATGTGTGGCGGCCTGAAGGGAGCATGTGACCTCCACTTGGACATGTGCAATTGTACTGCGGTATGCTGTTGCTGATTTGCTTTTTTGAGCGCTGCTTGGCTTAGAGGGGGCACTTTTCGTTCCCGCTAGTTCTTCATGTTAACTGGTGAGTCCCACTTTGGTGGAACCTGTAAAATCTTGTGGGCTGCAAAGTGATGCAAACGAGTCACTTTAGTTACAGGACTTCATAGGTCTTCACAGTGAACTCCACGAGCTTCTCTAATAATAAGTACGATTTGATGTCCCATCAAGCCAAACTGCGCCTTTTCACAAAATTATAGGTCTGGAAAAACAGGCGGAATACAGCAGCACCGGATATTGCGCGTGAGATAAATGGTTGGTCCCGTGAAAGAATACGGTAAGCCTGTTTTCCACGCACGCACAATCACGCATACGGTAAGCGCGAGGCGTTGGCCGTTAGTTGACCAAGGCTGAAGTACATTTGCATGAAAGCTGCTTAATGTAGGTTTTCGTCATTGGCCGGACTCTTTTGCGCCGGGCTCGTAGCATTGATAGGGAAAATAGGCGTCAAAATAAGTTGTCCTCCAGCTGGTTCGCCTGAAATCTAACGACTGCGTGCCCGCCTAAGGTGAAGCAGAATCGTACAGTGTGTGCCTTCGAAGATCAGATGAGGAGCCTCTCACGCGCAATTAGAATACTGGTGTTCCGCCTGTTTTCCTGAAGTTATAACCCGTTTTTTGATTTAATGCCTATGCCTTTTTGCTCTTTTTAACCTCAGGAGCAAACAGCCATGACCCAAAAACAAGCTGGATGAACAGGGTGCAGCATCGTTGTGTTCCAAGCCATGGGGGGGGGTCGTATTCAGCATGCAGCATTACATCCTGCGACTGTACCTGCTGATGAACCTGTCTTTTTAGGAGTTACCGCAGTCAGGGATTGAAATTTGGCCGACGGCAGCGGAAGGGACACTCTGTGACGTAAAATCCTGCAGCAAAAGCAAACGACGAAAAGGCAGTGCTGCGGGCTACCATGCAGCGCAGGCATGGTGTGCTTGTGAGTAACAAAGGTGACAAATAAAACGAAAAAGGCAGAGTAGATCACTTATCAGATGTAAAGGGTTTCCAATGAATGGAACAGATAATTTTATCCGCAGAAAATTTTAATAAAAATCAAGTATCTTTTTTCAACCTCGACTAATTGATGTCGACATTGCACTAGTTCTTACACGTGCTCACGAGTGCAGTGATCGTAGGCAGGTGGGGAGGCATTCATTCCAGAAAGCAGAGATGATCAAAGGGCTAACTCGTAGATCGTGAACCACAACAGCTAATTAGCTCAACTCCGGAAGTTGGGGAGCTTCCAATTCTTATGGTCCTTCACCATTCATCATATAATGATGTATAACGATGGCTATCTGTTCGGCTCATCACGTTGAACGTGCGAGTGCACGAAGGCAAAGGCCCGAATAGCCATCGAGTTGAGAGGGTAAGAGTGGGCTGGGTGCCGTAATAGGGAACGCAACCGCACAGGAAGCGGAAGATGCTGGTTCGAACTCCGCCCGCGGTCTGACTTTTGCCTAAAACTCAGCTTTCTTGTGATGTGGTCAATGTTGAGCAATTCCTTTAGTGTTGGTATCAGTACATATTGCAGTCCTGGTCGCTGCTTATGATGGAGAGTACGAGTAAGGATAGGTTTGGCGCCGCGCCGGCAAACCGTCCTCCAACAGTTGTTGAAGCGGGACAATAGGTGGTGGAAAAGTGCACATAGGAAGGATGTCAGAAGTTGTCAGAAGTAAAGTTGTGTCGCTTGCCGAAAGAAAAAAGTAGAAATGAAAGGGCTGGTGGTCCACCTATCACTTACCCCCTTGACATGCCCCATCATCCGCGAACAGGACCGTTCCCTCGAAATGTCTGAAGTTAGTTCATAGTCCCTCCAGAGTCCTGAGTCCTGAGGTATGAGAAATTTGGCTCATAAAGGAATGTTTAAGAACTGGAGTGTCCTCTCCAATCATTCTCACTATTTGTATTTTACTGCCCTACTCTTCGCATGTTGACCGAAATTCTTCCCGTGAATGAATCCCTTCAGGTTCTCGGCTCCGCTGAACGGTTTTC